GTCGCCACCCCTGCGTTCTCGAGAAGATGCATCATGTCTACGGGGAAAAAGCGGCGGCAGAGAATGCGCTTGCCACCGGCGGGTGGTTGGGCCCCCGCTTCTCTGGCAGGGCATGTTCTCGCCTGACTGCCAAACGGCGCCCTCCGACATGTCGGCGAATGTCTGCGTTCCGCGGTCGGCGAGGCATTCGGGGCGCGCCTCGCTGCGAGAGGCAAGTCGCGCCAGGCCGCGGTCATTCGCCCGCGCGCCCTCGTCGCAGTTGACGAATGTCGGCGCGGCCTTCCAGAGCGCGCCGTCGGAGTCGCGCGCGACTGATCTGCTCCCGACAGCGCGCGAACCAAGCGCGGTCATGTCGTCGAGCATATGGCGCCAGAGCAGCGAGTCGTCGGAACCACCGGACCGCCGCGCATAGGAGGCGCAGGTTAGCTTGGTCAGCCTGGTTTCGCCGAGGCCGGCGAGGGGCGAGCAGCTGGCGACGCGGCGCGCAGGCGTCTTCGACTTGGGCCCCGCGTCGGAATGCCATGCAAAAGGGGCCAGCGCCTGCAATGGCGGGGCCCAGGCCAGCAAAGCAGGGCCCCCCAAGGAGTCCTGCCACAAGCCGCGCAGCTCGACCTCGCCCGCGCCGATCGCGTGCGGGTAGCGCGCAGCGCGGCGAACCGCGTCTATGGCAGCGCGGCGCGGGGTGCGAACTCGCCGGGATACGCGGCGATCAGACGCGGCACGCCGGCGGCATGCAGCATTTGTCCATCGGGCTGCTCTGCGCGTTCTGGCCCGTTCCGAGCTGCGGCGGCCGCGCGGGCAGCGGGCGCGATGGGGCCTTCGCCCGCGCCGCGCTGCGCCAAAAACTGCAGCCTCTCGGCGCCGATGGTGCCCTCGCACCGCTGCAGCAGGCGATTCCCGGACAATCGGGATCGACGGCCGCGTCGCGGCAGATCGCTGGCCAGGCGCTGGCGCCATCCACCGCGGCGGCGCGGCCTCGGCGGCGCCGGGGGCGCGAGGCGGCGACGAGGCGGCGACGGCGACCACATAGCCGCCAAACCGCCCAGCCGGCCGAGACGACGGGCAGAGACGAGGCGGCGACGGGGCGGCGACGGCGACCATATAGCCGCCAGATCGCCCAAGTGCCCCAGTCCTTGTAGATGACAAGTAAGAACCCCTAATGGCAAGCACGGCGAGCAGTGCGAAGCAAGGCCGGGCAACGCAAAGCAACGCAAAGCAACGCAAAGCAACGCAAGGCAGTGCAACGCAAAGCCAGGCCAGGCAGTGCAATGTTTTGCGTTGCAATGCACAGCAATGCGGATCAACGAAAGGCGGCGCAACAAAAATGCAGCGCAAAGCAGAGCGACGGCGACGGCGAAGCGACGGCGACGGGCGGCCAGGGGCGGCGACGAGGCGGCGACGGGGCGGCGATGGCAGCCACGGAGCCGCCAGGCCGACGCACAGGCCCAGGTCTTTAGACCAGCAAGCACTGTCTGGGGACTCATCTTCACCCACCTATATTTATGTGCAGGCGTGTACAATCAGCAAGAAATGCAACATACGGCTGTACAAGCATATCGTAGCGCAACATAGCTATACAGAGTTATCAGTAAGTGACCGCTTGTAAAGGTAAGATAGCCCAGCTACGGGGGACGACTCGTGCCCGTTTTTGTATCACCTGGCGATAACAGCTGCTCCAGGGGGGGACAAGGGGGCTGGTAACGTCGCGATTCGCGCCGGCACCGTCAGGGAATTAGCTAACCCCAGCAATTCCCAAACGGCGCCAGCGCGAACCATGACGGTAGAAAACTGCTGGAGCCTTGTACAGTGGAGACCCATGCCAAGAAACACCCTGCTTGCTTCCAGGGTGCCCTGGGTTTCTTGGGTTTCGATGGTTTTGCTGTGCAAAGCGCGACGTTCCCACCAAAAATCCGTGGACGTCCTGGGGCCTGGGGTCTCAGGGTTGGGTTTCTGGTGGGAGGTTTCTTGTGGACTGGCCTCCACTGCATGTCTCAGTAAGTCTGTTTTCATAGTGCATTAGCGCGTGTTAGCGTCTGGTAATTGATGAGGTAGCCCCGAGTTAGCCTCGATTCGCGTCGGCTAGCGTCGACTTGCGTCGATTCAGCGTCGTATCGCGTCGATTAGCGTCGGTTCGCCAGAGCCAACAAGATGGTATGGCAGGCTCCCATGAGTTGCCAACGAAGGCGCATCCCCTGCTCAACCCTGAAGCTCTTGAGGTGGAGGAGTCCCGGGACGACGACGGGATTCTGGTTGCGGGGGGGCGGACCTCATGGCCAGGGCCATGCTATCTCCGCAGATTTCGTGGCGCCCCCGTTTATTTAGCGCAGTCAGCCCGCATAGGAAGGATGAGCGACTTTCCAAGCGTACCTCTGCATCTCTTCCCTTCGGCCCACCCTCGGCCGCTCTCGCTGGCCGCGCCCCGCCCGCAAAGTGTCGACATTAGGGGGTCATGTGCGAACCCTACCCCTACCCCCCACGATTTCTGAGGGGGAGGGTGGGGTTCATTTCGCTCGGGCGAAATGAACCCCACCCTCCCCCTCAGAAATCGTGGGGGGTAGGGGTAGGGTTCGCACATGGCCCCCTAGACATGGCCTTCCGAGGCCCTTGCATCCTCATCGCGCGTCCTTCTCATACAGGCTGGCCCTTGCGCCCCCTGGGCCCCCACCGGGGCCGCGCGCGCGCCTCGGGCCAGGATCTGCGACCCCCAGCTCTTGGACAGCCCCCCTCCTATACTGGACGCCCCCCTCCTCTCTGGCGCCTCCCCCTTGGCCGCCCCCCTCCTGCCGCAGCTCTTTGCGAGCCCCCCGGGCCCGCGACGTCGTGACTTCTCATATAACGTCGACCCCCAGAGGTCTTCTGGACTCCTTCCCCGGGACCCGTTCTTGTTCTTCGTGCTGAGCGTCTTTTTGACGGTCCCGAGGCCCGGTCAGGGCCCCCGGAGGCCGCGCGACTTAAGCCTCCCGCCGTGACTTTTGCACAACGCACGGAGGAGGTATGGGCCGCCTCTCTTAAGGACCCCCCCCTTTCCCGGACGCCCCCGATAGGGGACCACATGCGAACCCTTCCCCGACCCCCCACGACTTCTGAGGGGGAGGGGGAGGTTCTCTTCACTCGGGAGCTCGCGAACGGAGTGAATCCCGCCCTCCGCCTCAGAAATCGTGGGGGTATAGGGTTCGCATGTGGCCCCCTCATGGGCCGCCTCTCTTGGACCCCCCCCCTCCCGTCACCACCCACCAAACGACCCCAACCCAACCCGAAGGCCTCAATTTTCCCTCCATTTCCAGTGGGGGGCGGGTGGGGGAACATTGAAAAAACACATGGAACCCGTACCCCCCCCCAACCCGAAATTCGGGTCAGATTCGGGTCTTCGGGTTGGGTTGTTGTGGTCTGGTAGGCAGTCATCCCGGACGCCCCCGAGGCGCCGGCGCAGCCCCCGGCCCGGGCGGCGCCGGCGCCGCCCGGGACCCTGGCGGCCGCGCCCGGCCCGGGCGCGCCCGCCGCTCGGGCGCCGCAGCCCTGGCCGTACGGGACGGCCAGCGGCACGGCGTTGGCAGGCCGGGCTGGCTCGAAGAAGAGAATATTGTCTGACCGTGCTATGCGGCACCTATCCCACGAGCATTCAGCACCTAGGATACCACGAGTACTGGTCCCGAAGTGAGGCGACGGAACATAAGCGTCGCCTCCTGGACCTCCTCATCCTCCTCCTCCTCCTCCTCCTCCTCCTTTTGAAGCCTTAGGGCTGGTTCGAAGACTGAGAGCCCCGAGAGCCGACGCCCCCGAACAAATCGGAGCGGCTGGGTTTGGGCAGTTCGCGGCCTCCGGGGCCCTCGCTGGGCCTTAAGGGGCGCCAAAAGAGCGAGTCAGGACGAAGAACTGGCCCAGGAGAAGCGGTCTGGACCTCCGGGGTCCACGCACCAACAACAATTGGAGCAGCTGGATGCCTGGGTAGAAGAAGAGAACACGCCATAGACATGAACCGGGGGCGCTCCGCGCGGATTTCTTGGCTTCGCGCTCGCGAGACCCGCAGAAGTCGAAGAAGAACAAATGGCACAGACAAAAAAAAATTTGGCGCTGCGCGCGGATTTCTTGGATCGGCGCCCGGGCCACCCTGGCGGCGCCTCGGGCGCCGCCCCTGGCGCGCTCCGCGCGCCAGGTAGGGGGGGTCCAGCGCAGATCCAACAAATCCGCGCGGAGCGTCAAAAGTGTATGTTTATGCCGTGTTTCTTTTCTTCTATTGGTGGAAGAGCCAAGGATTCGGAAACTTAGTTGCCCTGGTACGTACGTCTTGAAACGCAGCACTTCCCGTGTTTCAAGCGTCCGTGTTAGCACGCTGCGTGTTGGTTCGGCACGTGTTGCCCCACGTTTTGACGAACGCATCGTGCCAGACGTACGTTCTCGACCTACGTAGCGGGCTCCGTGTCAACACGCCTCGGGTTGTTTGTTGTGTATAAGGCCGGCTAAGTTTGGGAGCCTTGAGATGGGCGTCATTGCAAACGGGGGTCAGCCAGAGCGCGGGATCTTGCAGGATCTTGCAGAGCCAAGGGTGCATTGACCTGGGCTTGCGTGCAGGATCCTGCAGGATCTCGCGGGATCCTGCAAAGCCTGGCGGCCGAGCCTCGTTTGCACTGACCCGGGTCGGTGCGTCCCCGAAGGAGGATTTCCGAAGGGTCGAGTTGTTCGATCTGGGCGCTCTCCTGCAACTTCGGCCCCTTGGGGCCGTCCGTGTTCGGGGCTCGGGGCCACCAAGAGCGGATACGGGACGAAGAGCCATCCCCGGGGAAGGGGCCGGCAGGCCCGGGGCCACGGACGGAACAGAACGCATCGTCGAATGCTTTTGTGAGCGGCATATGCCACAGACTGTCGGACTGGCCGCGCGGATGCCTCGGGTCCGCGAGGGGCCTCCGTCCGCGACACCCCCTGGCGGCGCCTCCAGCGCCGCCCTGCGGCGCGCGCCGCGCGGCGGGGAGGGGGGGAATCGGCGGGCGGCTCCAGCGCTGACCCAAGACTTCCGCGCAGGTCTCCGACGGGTTCTGCTTGTGCCGCTCGCCGCCCGCCTCGCCCAATTTTCGGCCGCGTGCATCCCACGCCTGCCCATGGACGCGGCCAGGGGCCTCGCCGCTGCGGCACACGACTGGTGCCGTTCCCTGCCCCTCCAGGGGAGCCGTCTGCTGGCGAGTGCCTGCGGGACCGAGGTCCGCGACCTGCTGACATCAGGACCCGCAGAAAGCCTCGCTTCACGAACACCACCATGCCCGGCCAGTGCCGTCTTTGGAGATTCCCCCCCCCCTGGGCGACAGCGGGCGTTACGAGGGAGGGGAGGAGAGGAGCGGGGCAGGTACTGTCACGATTCGCGCCGGCGCCGTCTGGGAATGTCCAGGATGACCACAAGCAGTTTGGACGTCAGCACGAAAAAGGGGAGGAGAGGAGCGGGGCAGGCGATGTCACGATTCGCGCCGGCGCCGTCTGGGAATGTCTCTAGGGATAACCAAGAGCAGCTCGGACGCCAGCACGAGAGCATGTTCCAGGACGGCGTTCAGACTCCCTTGGGCGACGCAGCAGGACGCGGGCGAGTGCGCGGACGTCTGGGGACGATTTTCTTGGGGGTATTTTTGCATGTGTTTGGAAGACTGTCTTGACATTGTTTCAGCTTTCGCCAAAAATCCGCCTGTAGGGCGTATTTTTGATTATGTTTGGAATATCGTTTTGACACTGTTTCATCTTTCGCCGAAGCATCGTATGGGGGCGATTTTTTTTGGGGGGTCTTTTTGCCTGTGTTTGGACACTTGTCTTGACACTGTTTCAGCTTTCGCCCAAAAACCCGCCTGCAGGGGGACGTGCCCGACCCCATGGCAGAGCGTGCCGCCCGGGCGGCCCGCGCAGGCCGCCGCGCAGGGCCGCTGCGCCGTCGTGCGCGGGGCCCGTCGCGCGTCGCCGCTCCCCGGCCTCGGCCGGGCAGGTGGGCCCCGGCCCGTCGCTCGGCGCGTCCTCCTCCTCCTCCTCCTCCTCCTCCTCCTCCTCCTCCTCCTCCTCCTCCTCCTCCTCCTCCTCCTCCTCCTCCTCCTCCTCCTCCTCCTCCTCCTCCTCCTCCTCCTCCTCCTCCTCCTCCTCCTCCTCCTCCTCCTCCTCCTCCTCCTCCTCCTCAACCACAGCGGTGACGCGCACACCTTTTTTTTCCCGCGGCGCGCCGCTGACACCAAACGACGGGCGCACGGCAGCGGGACGCGTTTGCCACGAGCGGGGAGGCCTACGATGATCCAGCCAGCTTCAGCCTCGACCGCGAGAAAGCACGTCGACCACCAGAAAAGAGGTGCCGAATCGCAGGGGTCTTCACGCGTCGGGCCCTGGGCGGCCCTCGTTCGACACCGTTTTGGACACTGCTTCGACACGCGTTCGACTCTTTTCCGGGTGCTCGAGAATATTTTTGGGGATGTGGACCTTAAGTACGATGGGAGCAACATAAGGCCAGGCATGGTGGCGGTGTAGAAGTACGGGCGTCTTCTGCGAACAGGAGGGGCGAGGAGCTCGTGGACCACATCATCACCCTGGAGGAGCTGGTGCCGCTGCTCAACCGCACCAAAACCTGGCCGACTGCCTCGGGCTCCAAGGGCGTGTGGCTGTCGGAGAAACGGGGCGTGCTGAGCCACTACTCGCCACGCCGGGAGTGCGCGCGGGAGGTGCCGCGGCTCATGCACTTCGTGTGGCTTGGGAAACCCTTGAAGGACAAGTACGCAGCCAACATCAATGCCTTCTCGGAGGCGACGATCGGGGGCGAATAGCCCAGGGGAGGGCAATACGTGTATCCAGGGGCGCTGATCGCGCATGCCTTCGACGAGGCCTCCGGGCATACGTCCAACGGCCGCCCCTGAACTATTCGCCCCTGGCGTCGCCCCCGACCTTCGTCAGCAAGAACCCGGAGTGGCAGGCCCACCTCTGGATTGAGACGCCGTTGCGGGAAACCACGGCGGCAGTGTTGGCCTCGCCTTCGCAAGGGCGCCCGTGCATTGTCAAGAGCTACGCGGAGGTGCCGGAGATGCGCCTCCTGGGGCTGATCCAGACTGCGCCCAGCATCGGTGCGGCCGCAGACCTGCTCCGCCTGGAGGTCGTCTACCGCTACGGCGGGATCTACATGGACGTCGATTCCCACCCCGTCCACGGCTTCGAGGAGTACGGCTCGCTGTTCCGGTGGCCCTTCGTGACCTACGCGGGGAGCGGCGGAGGCCTCTGCAACTGCCTGTTCAGCGACTCTCCGGGCTCCGCCTTCCTGAACTTTACGATCGCGGCGGCCTACGAGATCGGCACGACGTTCAAGATCAGGGGCCCTCTGACGGCCACCGGGCCGCCTCTGGTGAACAGCGCATTCGTAATGTACAACAACCCCGAGTATGTCCTGATCGAGAGCGACTTCGTACTCAAGCACAGGTCGGCGGCGAGCCCAAGGGGGGGAAGTGAGAGGCAACAGGCCTTGTCGGAAAGCGCCAGGGCTTCGGATAAGGCCTGCTCCCTCTCACCTCCCCCCTGGGCTTGCCGCCGAACAGGAAGAAAGACAAGGAAATCATGTATCAGTCCTTCGACTTCTCCTGGGCGGGGGTTCCTGGAGGACCTCCGGCTGCTGCGCGGATGCCTGAACAATGAGTAGGAGTAGTCTTGGAGGGATCGGTACGTCTTTCTGTTCGCACATCATACAGAGAGTGGGAGAAAGAGAGAGAGAGATAATAGCCAATATTCATAGATGGGAGGGGCGGGTGGAGAGAGAGAGAGAGAGGGAGAGATATATGAAGAGAGGTAGAGACATATGAAGATATATATAAAGAGAGAGAGAGAGAGAGAGAGAGAGAGATCGGGGAACGAATCTCATATATATAGATATAACATACATTCACATACATATAGTGATCTATGAGGGTAAAGAGAACGAGGCAGAGAGGGGAGAGGAGAGAGGAAGAGCGAGATATATAGAGAGAGAGAAAGAGAGAACGATCTGAAGGGAGAGGATCTGATTTGTGATTCCAGAATTCGGGCCTGCGCGCGTGCGCTTACACAGCAAGCTTGGCTCGAGTGCCTCGGCTCACGACGCAGGCCCTGAGCCTCCTGATTCTCAGAAACGTAGGACTCCGCGCTGGATCCTTCGCAACATGGCCGAAAACCGTGCATGCACGGCATGGTTTCCTGGCCGTGCTTGACGCTGTGGCTGACGAACCCGGCCAGGACGTGGCAGCCTTGCAGCTGCGCTGCTCCGCGGTCGTTGCCCACTTCTGCGTACCCGTGGGCGCCGGCCACGAGGGGTCTGCCGCCGGCTTGACGGAGCTCCCAGCGCGCGACGACAACGGCGGCGTTGTCCCAGAGGAGGTCGAGTACAGTCGGATTGAGGTATAAGATCGAGGTCGGTTCAGGTAGGGTACAAAATTGTTCTTCGTGTTTGTGGAATGTTTTTGGGCATCCTGGGGGGAGCGCCCTCTCGAATGTTCATGAAGGCTCTTCGGCTTGGGTACCCTCGTGTTCTCCGTGTCTGCTGGATGCTCCTGTGCATCCTGGCGGATCCTGGCGGGAGGGCACCCGTGGATAGCTTGTTCTTGCTTTGGCCGGCGGAGGGTGTCACGCTCTCGAGGGATGCCCTTCTGCCCCAGGTCCGCCTGTACGTGCCCATGCCGCTGGACCGCGTCAAGACCCCCTCGGAGGAAGTTTCTGGCCCTTGCGCGGTCCCCCCCGAGGGCGGCTCGCCCAATACACGTTCCAATACAAAAAGATGCTCGCAAGGGTGCGTGGCCAGGAAGCCAAGGGTGCCGCGAACCCCCGCAAAACACGGTGCCCTCCTCGGGCGCCCAGCGCCCTTCCTCCCCCGGCCTGCCGGGCTTGTGGTCGGAGGTGCGGCCGCCGCGCCTCGGACGACTCAGGCAGGCCGCGCCTCCCCGTTCCGGCTTGCCTTGAGGCCCATCGAAGAGTGTGCCGAGAACATGTCGTGGGTTGCGCGACATGTTCTCGGAGCAGTTCGGGCCGAGCTTGTGTCTTGTTTTTGGCACCTCGGGCTCCTGTTCTGAGAGCTCATTCTTTCTGTGCTTCGAGCACTTCCGGGTTCTGAGAACACTGTTTTACCATGCGAAGAGGCGCCCCGCGGCATTGCCGGGTTCTGAGAACACGTCGTAGTAGGCCCACAGGATTGCCGGGCCGGTCGGCCCCTGCCCAAACGATGCCCGAGGGGCTCGGGGAGGGGGCCGACGATGTGGTCCCCGCGCCAGCTGGAGGTGGGTGGGCCCGATGGCTCCCTGCGGGAGCCAGCTCCTCTCTTGGGTGAAGTCGGGCCTGCCCCCCTACAGGAGATACTCAAACAAAGTGACAAAATGGTCCGGGAACGATTGTCAGACTATCTTTGACCACTCGGGGGTATTTTTGACTGTCTTTAATTTGTTGTCCAGAGTCCGCCTGTAGGGGGGGACATGCCCGACCTAACTCTTGGGCGTTCCGCCCTGCGCGGTCCCCGAGGGGCGGCGTGCTGAGGCAGGTCGAGGCGCGGGCGCGCCGAGGCTTGCCGCTGCCAGCAGCGCGGCGGAGATCGCCGACAGGAGGAGGCCGACGAGCTCGTCTCCGCGCCTGCCGGGGGTTGGCGGCCCCGACGGTCTGGGGGCAAGGGCCACCTCCCCCCAGGGGCGGGCACTCTGCAGTCAGCGGCCGCAAGGGGCTCAGACGGCGGTCGAGCCGCGGCGCGGGGCGCGCTGGAGCACAGCATGGCGCAGCGAGCGGAGGGCGCCAAGAGGCGCGTGGCGGCCGGAGGGCTCGGGGGGCGAGGGAGCCACCTCCCCCAGGGGCGGACACGCTGGGGCAGGTCGAGGCGCGGGTGCGCCGAAGCCTGCCGCTGCGAGCCACGCGGCGCACGCTGCCGAGGTGCGGGTGAGCTGGCCAGGCGCCCTCGAGCGCACCGGACTCCGGTGCGCAGCGGGTGCGCCGAGGCCTGCCGCTGCGAGCCACGCGGCGCACACTGCCGAGGCGCGGGAGCCAACGGTGGCTCGTGGGCCGCTTCGGTGGTCGAAGCGGCCACCACGGGCACGGGCGCCCCGATGCCGAAGGCCTTCGGCTCCAGCGCGGCCGCCGCTGCTGCGGCTCCAACAGCGTCCCTAGCCCTTCCGCGCCCGGCCCACCCCAGGCCAGACGGAAGCGCTGGGACGGTGGCTGGCGCAGCTGTGTTTCCGGGCCACTTGGGCCACCTAATTAGGCACACCAGCCATCCTAACGGCCACAGAGGGGAGAGGACACCGAGGAGACCGGGCGAGGAGGAAGAAGGACGATGGAAGGCATTGCTGCCCCCCCCGCTCGCCGTCCGACGGTGAGTTACGTCCCGTCAAGTACCGTCTACTCCGGCTCCCGGGCATCGCATTCTCGCACGTGCGCATACGACAGAAATCAGACGCAAATCCATCACACGCACGCCGTGCGCAGGAGAAGAGAGAGATGAGGGGCACCGTTAGGAAGGGACCAGCTCAGGGGGGAACATCGAACTCGAGTCGGCGATCCATCGCCGATAGATCGGCGATTGGCCCGCGATAGCGAACCCGCACGTTCCTGGGTTGGGCGTGCAATTGGGCCCCTCTCGGCGATGAATGGGCGACTGGGGGTCGATGCGTCCCCCCTGAGCCTATCCCCCCTACTTTTGCCCCTGAAGCAGGGGCATATCCGGTTTCGTGCTCCATCCTCGACCCCGCCCTTGTCCCCTATGCGCCACGAGACGCTTATAATTGGAGCTCGCTCCGCTGGCGCCGCCCGATTCTCCGCCCCCGATCTCTCCCTGCGTGCCACAAGACGCCTCCGCCAAGGGGAGGCAGGGGGGAGCAGGCCACCAGAGGAGCTCGGTGGCCAGGCACAGAGGTTGCTCCTCCCTCGTGGCCCTAGGAGAAGGCCATCGGCAGGGCGGCTCGTTTGCCCGTTGGCCGCGTACTGCACGGGGACATCCCCCGCGATCGCGGCACCCCATCGCCGTCCCCCCATTCCATGGCCTGTTCTGGCTCAAGGGGCATTGCCGCCGCTCGCGCCAGAGGCCCTCCCCGCCCGCGTCGCGGGGTGCTGTGGCTCCCCGCGGCGCGGCGCCCGCCGCGCGGCTTGGCGGCGACCTGGCGCCGCGGCGGGCGGCGCCTGGTGGCCCGCGGCCGGGGTCCTGCCCTGCGCGGCGCCGCCGCCCTGCATGGGCGATGGCCGCCACGGACCGCGGCGGCGACGTCGTGGACGCGGACGAGCTGGCCGCCGAGCTGCCGCCGAACCCAGAGAGCGGGGTCCTGCCCGCCGTTGGAGAGCAGGAGCAGGAGGCGGCGCCCCGCTGGACCTGGAGGCGGGCCGTTTCTACCGCAGCACGGGGTTCGACGGCAGCGGCAAGCCGCGGTGATCGTTCGTATGGCGGCCGGAGATCTCTACCGCAGCACGGGGTTCGACGGCAGCGGCAAGCCGCGGACAGCTTCGAAGCTGTCCGCGGGGCCGGTGCGATATGCTCGCCCGCAGTTCATCTTCAGCGACGACTCGTTCTTGGATTGGTGGGCAAGCTTTCCCGGGGCGCCAGGCGCCATCACGCGGGCGCCGCTCGTTTACCTGTTCGACGAGGAGCCTTGCTCGCGCGAGGGTCTGCCGCGGGGCTGCACGGAACTCATCCACGTGGCCGACGCGGAGGAGGTGGAGCCCGCCGAATGGGCGGATCTGTGTCTCCAGATCCCGGAGATGAGTCCAGAGGCGGTCTGGCCGGCGGACTTGCTCGGACCGCTGGCGGGCCCGCGCGGGCGGCAGGCGGCGCCGCGGCTTGGGCGGCGTGCCGTCCCGAAGCGGGATGCGGCGGCGGGAAAGCTGGCCGACGACGGCGCGGGCAGCCCGTTCGACGCGCTGCTGGACGGCGAGCCGCCTGCCGCAGGCGACGATGACGACGACGATTTCGGCAAGCTTGCAGGCGGGCCGGCTGGGCGCGCTGGCCTCGGGGCGAGGCTGCAGGACGCGAAGGGCCGCTGCGCCGCCCGTCGGACTGCACGCGCTGGCAGCGACGACGGCGCGGTGGCGGCGGTGCCACCCGAGCCGCCGCGCGAGCAGCACAGGTCGCTCGCGAATGTGGCGCGGGGCCGAGCCGCCAAGGCTGCGCGGCCCATCGCCGCCGCGGGGCCCCCCGAGGCTGCGCGGGGCCCCCATCGCCGCCGGGGGCCCCCCGAGGCTGGGCCCCCCAAGCACAGGTCGCCCGCGATGCAGGAAAAGGCAGCCGGGAGGAGTTATCGCTCAATTGTCTGTTTGACCTTCCTGCCATTCCGCCTGCATGCAAAAAATCAGGGACCAAGGTGCATGGCGCGAAGCGCCAAGGCAGTCTTGTGTATATATATATATATATATAGATGTACACACATTCATGTGTATGTACATGTGTAGTAGGTGAATAATATATATATATACAGAGAGAGAGAGAGAGAGAAAGAGAGAACAACACAACAAAGAGAGAGAGAGAGAGCTAGAGAGAGAGGGAAAAAGAGAAAGAGAGAGAGAACAATAAAAGAGAGAGAGAGAGAGAGGGAGTCGTGTGCGCGTGTGTAGTATGGCAATGAGGATGAGGCAGAGGTTTTTTGTTTGGAGGGGGGCGGTGCAGCAGGACAAACAGTCAGGAGGGAAGAAGGGGTATGGGCATCGGCATCGCAGGGGCGACAAGGAATTTTGTTGGCCTCAGGAGGAGGACGCCACCAGGCGCAGAAGAAAAAACAGACGAACCAGAGCATGACCGCGACGAACCAGACTACCAGACCATGAGCATAGCACCACGTCACGTCATGGGACGGCTCGCAGCGCTTTCCCGTGTTCTCTGGCGACTTTGTGATCATCGCAGTGGTGTGAGACTCAAGCAAGACATCCGACGAGATGCTTTTTCAATCCGCGGCCCTCGTGCTCCCGACACCCTTTCCTCACGGGCAGGTCTTCATCCTGGACCCATTTTCGATTGTCCTGGGGCCCGAAAATAGCCCCAGGCGGCCTGCATCGAGAACAAGAAACGCATGGATCAACAAAAAGCCAATGCCTCGGATGTCTTGGGGATGAGGGCCCGCCGCGGCCGCGGCTGAGAATCAAGAGAAGAACAAACGTGCATAAACGTAAACGTTCGGAGTTCTGCGCCGGATCCCCCTTCCTGGCGCGCGGAGCGCGCCAGGGGCGGCGCCAGAGGCGCCCCCAGGGGGGCCAGCGCCGATCCAAGAAATCCGCGCATACCTCCGAACGTTTTTGTCAAGTCGCATAACCAGTAAGGATTATAACTAGTAAGGATGAGCAGCCTACCCTTGAATCATCCTCGCCCCTTCGGCCCATCCTTGGCGACTCGCTGGCCAGCCCCGTTCGAAAACGCCAACGTGGCCCTCCAAGGCCCTCGCATCCTTGCTGCGCCTCCTCCATCGTGCGACTTGACCGCTTGTGCAGCCTGCTTGCTCTTCTGCAGAAGCGCAAGCCACGCGCCAGGCCTTCGGCTCCGTGGTGGCCGCGGGCGCCGGGGCCTCCCAGATGGGGTCCGAGTAGCCATCGGTCGTTGAAAGCAGGTATTTTTGGATCCCCTGATTCCAACCTGCTTGAAGCGCCTTCCTACTTCAATGATCGAGTGGCTTCACCTTGTCCGTCCTCTCAAGGGGGCGGGCGGACACCCAATCCGTGGGGTCGGACGATCGCGCCGTATCGTCGATGCATCGGCGGTGCGGCTCGATAAGGAGCCCGATTCTCTCCGCGCGGGCGTCGCCGATGCATCGCCAGCACATCGGCGGTGCGGCGCGATCCTCCGACCCTATCGACGGTCGACCCGAGTAAGGGTGGGCAAGCTTCCCAAGGGTACCCTCTCGCATCCCTGCCTCCTCGGTCCATCCCTGGCCGCCTCCCTGGGCCGCGCCCCGCTCGAGAAGCCTCGGCACGGCCCTCCGAGGCCCCGGCCTCCCCCCCGGCGCCTCCCGGCCGGCGCGCGCCGGCCCCGCACTCCGACCCCCATATCTCTGGGAGGCCTCGGGGCGAGCGGGAGCCGAGCACGGGGGCCCCCCGGCGGAGCAGCAGCGGGCGGGCCGGCGCGCGGGGCGGGCCGACGGCGCGGGGCGGGCCGACGGCGCCCGGGGCGGGCCGCAGCGCCCCCTGCGGGGCGAGGGCCGCGCGCGGCGAGCGGGGCGCACGCCGGGCCGGCGGCGTGAGCCCGCCCGCGGCGACGCGCGGGCCCGCGGCGCGCGCCGTGCGGCCGGGGGCGGCATGGGGGAGACGGCCGCGGCCCTCGCCTCCCGAGCGGTGGCGGAGCGGCCCGGGTCGCCCAGAGGGAGGCCCAGCAAGGAAGGCTCGGGGGCGGAAAGAGGGGGGTGATGACTAGGGGGGGGGTGGATATCATGGCGGGGGCCATGATATTTCCCCAGATTTCATGGCGCCTCTTCTTATTTCATTACGTCCCTGGCCCCCCCGCTGGGCCGCGCACATGCCGCCGGTCATGATTTGCACCCCCCCCTCTTGGACACCCCCCTCTTGGCCGCTCCCGAAAGGCTCTATAAGGGCCCTCCTGTGTTCTGCAGGCAGTGTTCTCAGAGCATGTCTGGCCGGAGCTGTCCCGTTTAATAGCGCGTCGGGACTGGATGTTCCAATCCAATTGAGTAGGGCTTTTGTGCTTGGAACAGTTCTGGGTTCTAAGAACATGTCGTGGTAGTCCTATAAGGTTGCCTGGACGGTTGGTCCCTGCTCAAGCCTCGACTCGGGGCGATCGAAGTGGGTACGGTCAACCCGCATAATTAGCATTGGCAGCCTTCCCAAAAGTACCCTTGCATCCTTGCCCCTTCGGCCCATCCTTGGCCACCTTTTGCTGGCCAACCTCGTTCGGAAAACGTTCACATGGGCCTCCAAGGCCCTTGCATCTTTACCGCGCATCCTCATGATGTGGGTTGACTGTACGGGAAGAAGGGATAATTACGATGCCCAAGAGAAGTTTCTGTCGTTTTGAACAGGAATCGCTGTCCGCGCCGCCGCGATCCGCGCCGCCGCGGACGTTGGTTCTTTGAGGGCAAAAAAAAGCCGCCTGCCCAACAGCGGCCGCTGTCGGTTTGGGACAACATGTGTTTTTGGGCATTGCACTATTTCTTCCGTATCTATGTCGGGCGTCCGGATTGACGAGCGAGCAGCAGGGGGGACGAGGGGGGGCTATGGTTATGGGTGCGTGTTGTCGGATGTGGCTCCCCGCGCTCGGACGGGAGCCTCCCACGGGGCCCGACAGACCGCACGCAGACCCATAGCCAGTCCTCATCCCTTCGACCCTGCTATGGGTGTGGGTTTGTGTTTTTCCTTCGTCATCCCTCCTCTGCCCGCCCCAGTTCCCAGCGTCGCGAGGCAGCGTGCAGAGGGGGGTGGAGGGGGGGAGGCTTCTTAGAGGGAGGCTGCTTCTAAGAAGGCGCCAGCCCTACATTTGTAGAGAAGGCCCGTGCCTTCTACGAAGCAGGGGGGGAGAGGGGAGGGGTGAGTGGGGGAGGGTTTCTTAAAAGCACCCCTGCTTCTTTTGAAGGCGCGGGCCTTATCTACAGATGTAGAGCCGGCACCTTCTTAGAAGCTGCCTCACTGTAATGAAGCCTTCCCCCCCCTCCACCCTCTTGTGCGCGCGGCCAGTCCCTCCTCCGCCCGCCCCAGCTTCCCGCGTTGTGAGAGAGTCGCGAGGGGACCGAGCATTTCCTTTGGGTGGAGGGCAAAGGATGAAAGTCTGAAATGCCGACTCGGTGGGTTCTCGAGGCTTGCATCTGCAAAAGGTGAATCGCAAGACGGACTGCTTTTCGAGGTGCAATGCAAAAGCCCATCTGGACTCCACCCTGAGCCCTCCACCCTGAGAACATGCTCCGGGGGAGGCTTCTGGCTGCAGTCGTCCTCCCCCGACCACCCACATGACACACATTTTTGGTACCATATGAAAAAGTAGCACACGTTACATCTCCCACTATCAAAAATGGGAACAAGGGCGTGATTCGTGCCAGTAGCGCTGTGCAGGGTGTCGTCTGCATTCGAATCGTTGGTGTTCCCCAAGCTTCTCATCCTTTTCCTTTCTTCCTCCCTCCTCCTCCTCCTTCCTCCCTCCTAGCTCCTCCTTGCCGTGTGGCTCGAACGTGAAGGTATACCACTACGCCTGGCGTTCTGTTAGCCTACGCTGGTCTTATCCCATCGTACCCGAAATAATGTTTCAACATCTGTTGGTAGACACCCCGATGCCAAACCCGTCCCTACAGTGGCCCATTTTGAGGAATATCGCTATGTAGGGTCCCAAGGCCTAAGTCCCGCTCGGAATGTCCCGAGATTGCCCATCGAATGGCCTATAGGATCCCAATTTTAGTACGGTCACACATAGACCACTCTTACAATACTCAGAAAAAGGAGGAGGAGGCGGAGGAGGAGGAGGAGAGGAGGAGGAGGAGGAGGAGGAGGAGGAGGAGGGAGGAGGGGGAAGAAGACGAGAACGAGGATCAGGACAATGAGGAGGAGGACTTCGACGACCAGGAGAGGGAGGAAAGCGAGAAAAGCAAGGACAGAGCGGGGAAGGCGGCAGCCATGGGACGGGATGGGATTGATGTTGATGCTGATGCCACAAGGTCAACATTCCTTGCGCAGCTATTCCTGCATCGCAACAACGTCCCACAACAGAACGACCCATGTATAAAGAATCATTGGCGCCATGTTGCTCATATGACACATCCTCGAGATGTCGGCAACCTGTCGTTGGAGGTCCTCGTCCGCATATGTCCAAAACGTTCTAGGGTTTCTGAACGCCGACTGGGTGTGCCCGAGATGCCAGAACAAGTGGAATTTCGGTGTTAGTTTCCACAGTTTCTCATTCTTGTCCAGGCTCTCCCTGCTGAGGGCGATGTATGTAGAAAGCAAGAGATCCGAGCAACGAGTCAAACGTTCCAAGTGTTCTGGCGTCAACACATCGGGTCCCTTCTCAACTATGTCGTAGAATTGCACTAACATCTCAGCAACCAGCAACCGTCTCCTATCATGGAGGCTTCCAGAATTGTGCTTTCTGGCAAGATGAAGCCCGAACCTGCTCATATGCCGAGTCGTGGCTGCTTTGGTTTTCAGCTTCGGCCAATGCGATGATGTTTTGATACGCTCGTATGTCAGCTCACCTTTGATCTTAGAAGATTTGATCTCTTTGGGCTGCTCGCGATACCAATCTTTGAGCTCGCGTGCCATGCGTTCTGCCTGTATTTTTTGATTGGGTCCGTAGCAGCCCGTCTTCATGGCATCGACCATGTTGTTCGCGATGATGTGGCTTGCAACCCCCAGCTCCACGGTGTGCAATGTACATATCATGATCCCTTCGAGCCGAAGGCCAACGATATTGAACAACGGCGAAGGTTGTTTCCCTGCATCTGAGAGTTCTGCCAGAAAGCTCTCATGCGACCTCAATGTTCTTCTGAATGGGGCGTCTGGCGATGTGTCTGTCCAAAGAAGCCGTTCATCGCTCAAGCTCGCCTTACAGAGCCAGCAACAATTGTCAGTATCCCAGCGTGGCAAGCCCAAGTAGTTCGCATAGAACTCCCAGTCGCCTCGGCATTGAATCAGGCTTGCCCTCCAGCCTCCTGGAACGAGATACTGACCTCCACCATCCAAGCGACGATGTTTCCAATCATGCGCTGGGGTAACGCCACTCGAAAGCACATTCATTGCCCAAGCAACATACGAGAATATGACATCGACCGTGCCTGGGCCAATGTCTGATTTCTTGACGCAAGTGAATACCAGCCTGGTCTCCAGTGCCGTACCCCCAGAAGGCAATAGAGAATTCCACGAAAGCGTGAACAACCCATCGTGTTTTGTTATTGGCGCCCCATCTGCGTGCATCCCTACAGGAATTGTTTTTGGCATGTCCGCTGCTCTCAAGGCGGGGTGTCTGTCAGCGATCGGGTGACCATCCAACGATTTCCAAAACTCCATACAGGCAGTACCATTACATCCAAAGTGCTTTTCCCAGAAAGGCTTGCGATGATGAACGAGGCGTTGAAACGTTTGCACAGGGCAAATGACTGGATGGCTATTGAGCGTCCCTTCTGGGCCGATCGGAATATCAATCCACGTGATGTCTGGCGCATGCTCAGGCCAGCCCAGAGCTGAAATCACAGCACGATGGGCTGTCTTGGAGTTCCATTTCTCTGAGACTCTGATCACGTTCGTCGCGCCTTGATTTGAAGCTGCTTGGCAGTATTCAAGCAGACGATTAGACGGAAGCTCACCCTTGGCCCAATCTCTTCGCATGCATTTGTTAAACGGGAGGCTTGAGGAAGACTCTGCGCGATTGGAACTCTCAGCACTGACTCGTTTGCGAAGGCTCCCAGAACGCTGTTCATCAGAAGCGATCGCTTGCAAACTTCTGGATGAAGGAGTGTCACAGACTCGACGCTTCAAGCTCCCTTTATGGCCCTCCGACATTGAGATTGTAACCCCATCACTGATGGCACTGAACGCGAAGCAACATGAAACAATCGCAACAGGTACGATCATAAAGATATGTATGGAAACGTGCCGAATCCACATACTGCCAAACCGGCTGCGGACGTGGGGGAGATGGTATCGAATTGGAGGATGGGGAATCGTATGGTGCAGGAGTCCACGAAGAATGAACGAGGACCGAGTGATTATCATTCCTTCTTGTATTTCGTTTTTTTTTGGGAGGGGGAGGGGTTATGAATGATGCTGAGTTGGGTCCTTCTGCTCATGACATGGCAATCGTTCCCGCGTGGGTTGCCCGAAAAAGTTAGCAGGAGCGCAGGGTACAACATAACCGCCAGTTTTTGTTGGAACCTTGGGGTGGCCTCGGGAGCGGTGGAACGGCAGCCGACCACGATCGGATGCTCTTTCTCAATGGCTAGGGCCCTCTGAATCTGAGCTCGACGGGGCCTCAAACATACCAGCGAGATGTTTGACGTCGGCTCGCCGCCCGAATTCGGGCCACCAAGGGCCCTTTCTCAAACCGCAGTTTATTTGAAGACATCCAGGTTCCCGAAACAACATGATTTAAGGCAACCGTTGCGCGGTTTGATCCTAGGGTTTCGTCTTGCTCGTGCGTGGTATCCTCATCGTCGACGGTGCTGGATGGCCAGTGTA